AGAAAGAGAGAAAGAGAGAAAGAGAGAAAGAGAGAAAGAGAGAAAGAGAGAAAGAGAGAAAGAGAGAAAGAAAGAAAGAAAGAAAGAGAGAAAAGAAAGAAATCCCACAGGGTAGTGGTGCTGCATGCTTTTAATGCCAGCACTCAGGAACAGAGGCAGGTGGATCCCTGAGCTTGAGGCCAGCCTGGTCTGCAGAGTGAGTTCTGGTACAGCCAGGGCTACACAAATAAAACCTGTCTCAAAAACCAAAAAGAAAGAGAAATCCCTCACAGGTGTACCCAGCCACTTTTGTTTTTATTAATTCCAGATGGAGTCAAGTTGACAACCAAGAATAGCCATCAAAGTCCACCCTTGTCTACTCGCTACACAATCATATCTCCTTATGCCATGCTTTATTTCCAAGTGAAAACATTAACTGGGTCCTAATTACGCCTAACATGATAAAACTATCCCACATACAATTGTAAACACATTATATATTTAACCAGGTCATAATTATGCCTAGCATTACATAACCACCCCTCGTGCCACTACAAATGAATTATAAATTTTAGGGACATTGTTTTAATATCTCAAACTTAAATATGATAACCACTGATATTCTCTTAATTGGTGTCCACAGAAGGGGTCATCCTATCTACTTTGTTATTGAACTCCTCCTCTGCCGAAGTCACCTTTTGATGAACATTTACATGGGACACAGGTATTTTCATATTCTTCGCCCATTTGCAGAGATCTAGCCACATACTTCTTCCCCAGATATCTTTTTCACCAACTTTCTATTCACGTTCTTTCCACGTTCCTGACCAATCCATTGGCTACAGTCCATGAATCAGTGAACAATCACACATTTGGCCATTTCTTCCTCTAATCAAAATGTATCACCATTTATACTGCCTGAAATTCTGCCCACTGTGAAGATTTCCCTTAGCCAGTGTCTTTCAGGGTTGCCCCAGAAAAGGGTTGTAATGCCGGGGCTGTCCACTTCTGGATGGTGCCTGCATAATAATGTCCAGAGCCATCGGTGTACTAGGCCCTCCTCTTCTCTTCCTCAGTCAACCAATCATAGGGCAAACCCTATGAGGTTATAGGTGCATGCTTGGCAGCAGGCAGCGTTGTGATGAGAGTAGAAACCATAGGCATTGGTCAATGTCTTCATGTGACTTGTTTGTGCCTTCAGGACCTGCTCGAGCCCAATCACATATGTACCACTTCCATTTGATAATAGACTGCTGCTGTGCACATCCTACTTTATGACTTGGTGAGTCAGTAGCACCCAGCTCATGATGAGCACCTAAGGTCGCACGGTAACTTGGTGGCCCTTTATCAAACGTTCAGTTTCCAGTAAGGACAAATAGCAGGCCAAGAGCTGTCTTTCAAGGGGAGAATGGCTGACTGCAGTAATGGCAGAGCCTTGCTCCCAAATCCCAAAAGGTCTCTTCTGTGATTCACCTATAGGGCCTGCCAAAGGCTCCAAACAGCACCCCTCTCTGCCACTGACACCTCAAGTACCATCCGATCTGCGGGATCATATGGTCCAAGTGGTAGAGCAGCCTGCACAGCAGCCTGGACCTGTTAAAGAGCCTTCTCCTGTTCCCGGATCCACACGATAGCAGCTTTCCACATCACTTGGTATGTGGGCCAGAGTAACAAACCTAAGTGAGGAATGTGCTGTCTCCAGAATCAAATAGGCCCACTAAACACTGTGCTTCTTTCTTGGTGGTGGGAGGGGCCAGGTGCAAATTTATTTTTCATCTTAGGAGGAATATCTCTGCATGCCCCACACCACTGAACTCCTAAGAATTTCACTGAGCTAGAAGGCCCCTGAATTTTGGTTGGATTTATTTCCCATCCTCTGTTATGCACATATGTGTTACCAACAAGTCCAAAGCAGTTACTATCTCCTGCTCACTTGGTCCAGTTGGCACAATGTCGGCATTATAGTGAACCAATGTGATATTTTGTGGAAGAAATAGATAATCAAGATCCCTTTGAACTAAGTTATGACACAGAGCTGGATGGAGAGTTAATATATCCTTGAGGTAAGACTTTGCAGTTTTATACTGCTGGCCTTGCCAACAGAAAGCAAATTGCTTCTGGTGGACCTTATGGACAGGTACTGAGAAAAAGGCATTTGTAGGCTGGAGAGATGGCTCAGAGGTTAAGGGTACTGGCTGCTCTTCCAGAGGTCCTGAGTTCAATTCCCAGCAACCACATGGTGGCTCCTAACCATCTGTAATGAGATCTGGTGCCCTCTTCTGGCCTGCAGGCATACGTGCAGGCAGAATACTGTATACATAATAAATAAATAAACCTTTTTTAAAAAAAAAAAAAAAAGAAAGAAAAAGAAAAAGGCATTTGCTAGATCATAGCATCATATCATGTACTAGGAGATGTGTTGATCTGCTCAGGTAAGGACACCACATCTGGTACAGCAGCTGCAAATGGAGTTCCTACCTGATTGAGATTTCAACAGTCAACTGTCACTCTCCACGATCCATCTGTCTTCTTGCTGCACTGGCCAGATAGGAGAGTTAAAGGGAGATGTGGTGAGAGCCACCACGCCTGCATCTTTCAAGTCCTCAATGGTGGCACTCATTTCTGCAGTTCCTCCAGGGATGCTATACTGGTTTTGATTCACAATTTTCCCTGTCAGAAGCAACTCGAAAGGCTTCCCTTTAGCCTTTCCTACCATAATATGCCTCACTCCACAGGTCAGGGAACCAATGTGAGAATTCTGCCAACTCCTAAGTATATCTATCCCAATTATACATTCTAGGACTGAGGAAGTAACCACAGGATGAGTTCTGGGACCCACTGGATCTACTATGACATTGACTTCAGCCAAATCTCCATGAATCCCCTGACCTCCATAAGCCCCTACTTTCACTGGAGGGCTACAGTGCTTCTTGGGATCTCTGGAACCAGCATCAATTCAGAAGCAGTATCCAACAGACCCTGGAAAGTCTGGGTGTTTCCTTTCCTACAGTGTACAGTTACCCTTGGAAAAGTCCATAAGCTCTCTGGGAGAGGACTAGAGAAAGGCTAGTGGTAAAATCCTTAGGCATTTAATCAAGGTCCTTCCTTAGGGGAACCTGGCCATCCCTTCATTCAAGGGATTCTGGGTCTATAAACTGGCTCAAGTCTGGAAATTGGGTCATGGTCTGAGATTCCCTTTGGCCATGATCCAATGGAGCCTTTCTTTCTCATTTGTTTGAGAGTTTTTCCCCCACTTATACAGATCAAAAAGAAAAATGCAGCAGGCTTCTTATGTATTTCATGCCTGGAAACACCATGATTGATTAGCTGGTACCAAAGGTCCATATGAGTCATACCACGATAGAATTCACTTTGCCTGTGCTGACCATTATGGGTCAGGCCATTATGGGCATTGCATTGTCTATGCTGCCCATTACAATAACTATGATCACCTTGCCTTTGGTGATTCAGAGCGCCACCTGGCCCCTGCTACTTTGGGGCCCAACTAAACTCCTTGCTTTTAATTCATCCAACTGAGCAGCAGAGAAAGGGCGGCAGTGAAGCTCTGCAGATGTTCTGGTGCCCCTCACCATTTTATGTCATAGAGGATTTGTGAAGGGCGTGTCTTCTGGGCCTTCTTCCCATTGTGGAAGCTTGGGTTTTTCACAGCATACCCACTCTAAGATTGCAGTTTCCCTGAGCCTTAAAATCACTTCATCAATATTAAGCCAAGGGATATCAGGCATCTCCAACTCCTTTCCAGTAGGCCATCTTTTGAGAAATGCTACAGCTAACCAATTAAACAAACTGACATCTTTAACTGTTTAAGGTTTCATATTAGACCTAGAATCTCCACTCAGTAGCCCCTTATCAATAAACTCAGCCTGATCTAGTTTTATGTTCCTGGCATAATATATGATGTTATAAACATAATGACATAATGATAATATAAACCATTATCCCACACCAATCCATTCCCACACATTCCCAGACTTCTATTTAAATGAATTAGCAAACTCGTTAAGCTTTTTTTTCCCCCTGAGATAGGGTTTCTCCATGTAGTTTTGGTGCCTGACCTGGATCTTGCTCTTTAGACCAGGCTGGCCTCGAACTCACAAAGATCTGCCTGGCTCTGCCTCAAAGTGCTGGAATTAAAGGCGTGCGCCGCCGCCACCGCCGCCACCACCACCACCACCCGTCCAGATCCCATTCTTTACCAGTTAATGCCCTTACTTAAATTGCCGATGCCCTCTGAAGTTGGCATTTGAATTTTCACTGTAATTCAGACAACCTTATACTGAGGGCTTCAGTTTGATTTTCTGCAACTTGAGCTCTGGCTGCTGGAAAGAAGATTCTCTTCCAGGGCACACTTAGAAACCTTTAGACTGTTTATGGGCATCTGGAATCAGTTGATTTTATCACTGAGTTCATTGTTGTCCTTCCATATTCTGAGATGCTAGAAGTTGGTTAATTTTATCATGGAGCTCATTCTTTTCCTTTGTCAACCAACTGGCATCATCATTTTCCACAATTGTCTAAAGTTTTATATATGGAGTAACCAAATCTGTTCCCTCTCACAGTTAGTAAATCAGGATAATGAAATGCAGTTGTCTCTTTAAGTTTATAAAATAGTTCACACATCTCTGTACTCTACCAGGTTCTAGGAGATGCTTCAGTAAAGTCTATTTCAGATAATTTAAAAAATCCATCCTGGGGCTGGAGAGATGGCTCAGCAGTTAAGAGCACTGGCTGCTCTTCCAGAGGTCCTGAGTTCAACTTCCAGTAATCACATGGTGGCTCACAACCATCTGTAACTATAGTCCCATGGGATCTGATGCCCTCTTCTGGTGTGTAAACATATATACAGACAAAAGACCCATATGCATAAAGTAAATAAATAAATATCCTATTAATTTATTTTGTTTTTTTGAGACAGGGTTTCTTTGTGTAGCCCTGCCTGTCCTGGAACTAGCTCTGTAGAACAGGCTGGCATTTTATGGTTGGGGGTCACCTCAGCATGAGGAAATGTATAAAAGGGTCGTATTAGGAAGGTTGAGAACCACTGCTGTAGAGGAACAGAACTGATAGAATATATTTTAGAATGTACATATATATGGTATTTATTGGAGTAGCTTACAGGCTGTGGTCCAGCTAGTCCAACAATGGGTGACTATGAACAGAAAGTCCAAGAATCGGCTGGGCGGTGGTGGAGCACGCCTTTAATCCCAGCACTCGGGAGGCAGAGGCAGGTGGATATCTGTGAGTTCGAGGCCAGCCTGGGCTACCAAGTGAGTTTCAGGAAAGGCACAAAGCTACACAGGGAAACCCTGTCTCAAAAAACAAAAACAAGCCGGGCGGTGGTGGCTCACGCCTTTAATCCCAGCACTCGGGAGGCAGAGCCAGGTGGATCTCTGTGAGTTCGAGGCCAGCCTGGTCTACCAAGTGAGTTCCAGGAAAGGCG